TTATTATTTAATAAGATCATATTGAATATATTCAGACCATAATAATGATTAATAAAATTAATTGTATATTTAAAAGTTTTCACATAGTACATCCAAATTGAATGTTTAAACTAATTTATTCTATACCTTAACTTTTTGTTTAAATTTCTTGTTGCAGGAAAAACTCTCTAATAAAATGAACGGCTAAATGAGGATATAGACAGAAAAAAAGAACATGCCGAAGGATATGCAAAAATGATTGATACATTATAGATATAAAATTATTTACTAAGTTATTGTATAGCTCAATTTGTAGTTTAAAGTTTTTTCTTACAAGAAATACTCCAATAAATTGAATGGCTAAGAGAAGTGAGAATATATACAGAGAAAAAAGAAGCAAATAAAAATAGGTGACAAGAAAATGGTTGTAGATTGTTTTAAAGTTCTCTATTAAAAATATTATTGTGTGGAACTTGATTTAAATGCATGAGTTAGATATAAACTGTACGCTACAGGAAATAAGCTAATTAGTATCAGATTAATTGGTTCTAAAATAGCTGAGGGGTAGACATTACAACTTTTGTGTGCCAGTTTTTTCATTTAACTTAAAAAATCTGCAAATAAGCTATTTACAAAACGCGTAAACCAAACAGTTAAACAACTTATCCAAAATAGAGACAGATTGGTCATTTATCCAGAATCAGCTGTTTTCCAAACACACAAACAAAACAATCAGTCAGCTTATCCAGATCAGCTGGTCATCAGCAGATTATCAGGATAAGCTGCTTATCAGCATAAGTTGGATAAGTTACAGCTGCCCCAAACTTAGTGTCAAACATTTTTCGACGCAGCTTTTCGCATCGGATTTAAGTTTGTTTAGCTTCGTAAATAGTCAGAGATAGTTTGTGCGTCGAATAATTTCGAAATATTTGCATCAACTTTAGCATCGCCGATAAGTTACATCAAATATTTTGTGTTGATCTTAGCATCATCAAGTTGTCAACGAAAAATTTCGCTTAATAGGGTCGAATCAATCGTTGTAATATTTACTACTAATTTATTTACGTCGGAATAGTATGACGTAACTCCGACGTAGGTGCCCTAAAAATTTAATCCTGCGCGCCCCAGCCTCATTCCCACCCTCTTCACTGTTTGATAGGTGCTCTCACGATGCAATTTCTCCACCACCGAGTGTCCACAGGCATTTTCCGACAGAGTTGCATCTCTAGCAATTCCTCTTCCACTCCAAGCTTAGGTAAGCTTCTCCTCTCATTTTTTGATCTCCCCATTAGATTAGTTATTTTTTAGGACCAAATGTTGTCTTTTTTTTTTTTCCCTTTTTGTGCTTAAAGAATGAAGATTGGGTGTTAGATATGTAATACTTAAGAAATGTTTAGTGGTTTGTATGTAAATATTGAAGCTTAGTTGTTGGACATGTAATACATAGGAATTGTGGTATTTTTGGAAAAAAATGAAAGTTTGTTTGTTAGATATGTAATGTATAAGGTTTAGGGGCTTTATCGTATTCGGTTTTTAAGTGGGATTTATACATGATTTATGTTAAATCCCGCCAAACGACAAAATAGGGATTTGTAAATCCTACAGGTTCTTAAATCCTATTTTTCCTCCGTTTTGCCTTAAATCTAGGATTTAGTAAATCAGGTTGGAAGAAGGATTTACGAGATTTAAGGAAGCTAAAGCATGAGGGAAGATAAATCCTATTAAATTTCACTAAAGTTGTCAAACTGTTTCTATAGATTTATTAGGATTTACTTATTAACATACCAAACAATTTTCAGGATTTAATCCTATCAAGATTTCATAAATTCGGATTTACAAGATTTACAAAATCCTACTTAAACTAAATCTTATCTACAACCAAGCAACCCCTTAGGGAGAGTATGAAAAAAGTTGAAGTTTAGGTGCAAGATATGTAATACATGTGAGTTGTGTAGAATGTATGTAAAAATTAAAATTTAGGATTTACGTATGTAGAACATAAGAATGGTGCGGTTTGATTAGTTGTAGTACCATTACTACAGCCTGTGCCACATCTTCCATCACCGCTCATATCAGACCCACTACATTTTTCCATCCACCTACTCCTTCCGCTACAACCCCTTTCACCTTTTTCTCCCACTCAACTACCACCTCCCTCTTAGACACTAGCACGCCCCTCCAATGATCTAGGCTCCTCTATTCCAACTACTTTGAGATAGGATGCCTCTAGATGGGTACACATTGAGCCAGAGGGAGACTCATAAGTTACATTTTAAATTATAACAAGTTCAATGATATTTTTGATATTTTGTGTAACTAACATTTCTATTTCAGGTTCTTTCTCTCCAGGACACCTATGACACACATCATGGAGTTCATTATGAGTAAGTACGATACTCTGTATCTCTCATGGAAGAAAACCCCATCAGTGACTTGCTCCATATAGTTTAAGAGTTTGAGGTAGGTTCATTTTATTTGAATTAGAATACTAATTTCAAGCTATTGTGTAATATTAATAAATATTTCAAAAATTTTAATTTATAGAGACCCTTCCCCTAGCTTTCCAAGCATCCCCGACAAATTTGCCATATTTTTTAAGTTTGTGGCAGGCATCAGCTTCGTGATATGCACACAAAAGCTCATAGGAAGGGAGAGTGGCCCATCTGGGTTAGGGAGGATATTTGTGCTCAAGTGACCACTGCCTGGCCGGGTCTCTTTTTCTTATCAGAGAAATAGAAGAACTAACCAGCAGAACATGAGATTGCGGGGGGCATGGGTGCCACACTCCACGGTAGAGTCTCGATCACCCACATAGAGCACTATCAAAAGATGGTAAGACTCACTAAAACTTAAAAAGTCAATAATGCAATCTTATGATATTGATTATTTTTTCACAATCATATGTTGTTAACAATCCAATTTCAGGCTGAACTAGGGTCAACTCAAAATTGGCTCGAAAAAAATT